AGCACAGTGTAGCATCATTTCCAAGAGAGATGGGGGAAAACATTACAAAAAAGTTTCTATCCCCTCACCCCCTAAAACATATGTGTGTTTTAAGCTGAACAGCCATTGAAAGTTGTTCTTTCCATCTTTCTCTGAAATCAAGGCCAGAACCTTTACCCGTAGCCAAAGGTAAGTGTAGCAGAATTAGATTCTCTGATAACTCCTGTAAGCTCCTTCTATCTTCCTGCTCTTGCTTTGGATCCATGCTAATGTGTAATAAGAACTCAAAGTAGATAGCTCTGTTCTTCCCAGGACACAGGAAATGTGGCCTGGTATAATGGCATTTTAAAAAGTTTTGATTGAAGTAAAATATAACATAGAAAAATACAGTTCAATGAATTTTTACTAACTGAAGACATCTGTGTAATCAGCACCCAGATCAAGAAACAGAATATTACCAGCAACCCTGGGAGCCTCCTAGTTACTCCTTTCTTCCAGGGGCAGGGACTTCTAAAAACAGATTAGTTTTCCCTGTTGTTTTTTTATTTTTATTTTATGTCAATGGAATCATATAATACATTCCTTTTTTATGGATTTTTCATTCAACATTATATTTGTGAGATTCATCCATATTGTTGTTTTATGAATTTATAAATCATTCTCATTGCTGTATATTATTCCATTGTGTGACTGACAATACCACAATTTTTCTCTAATGGCATTTTTAGTGGGAGAAAAAGTTTGTAGAATCTGTTTTCATTTCAACTGAGGACTTTGCCATTTCTCAGTGCCAGGGAATCATTTCCTCCACAGATAAAAATGCCAGCTCATTCCAAGTGCCCCTTAGAGGGATACATTTTGGGAAACATGTTCATACTTTGAGAGTAGCCTCTCTGTGTTCCTTTACATCTTATCCTATTGAGTCTTCTTAATGCATTCTTCCAACTTTCTTGTCTATGCCATTACTCATGAAATGCATATGTCATATAAAGGCTTCATCTTGAAGACAGTGGAAACCATGAAATAACTTTTAGGAGATCAAATATTTGGTTTAGAATGAGATGAATCATGGCTAGAGATAATGGTAGTTGCAGCTTAGGTGGTAAAGGAAACGATAGAGAGGAGGACATGGTTATGAGGACTTGGTGGCTTACTCAATGTGGCAGGGAAAGGGGGAGCTGAAGTAGAGTCCAAGTTTCTGTCTTGGTCAGTGTTGGTACCACACAACAGTATAAGGTATGCAGACTGAGAAGCAGATTTGGGGGTAAAAAAATCTGGATTTCAGTTTTAGATGTATTGAGTTAAGTTGCAGATGAGTTATATGGGTGGAGAAGTCCAATGGCAGCTGACTGTATGGGTAGGGAGCAAGGAGAGAAATTTGGCTAGAGATATAGATTTATGAGTTATGTTGGTGTTCAGATTAAGGTGAGATATTAAGGTGAGATACCACAAATACAGTGACTCAGACAGGATAGTTTATTTTCCATACAAATTGCAGTCTATAAGTTGTTGGGTGGTTCAGTCCAGATGCCACTCCAAACGTGGTCCACGGGCCAGCAGCATTGGGATCACATGAGTACTTGTTGGAAGTGCAGAATCTTCAGGCCCCTCCCATACGTAAAGAATCAGCATTTGCATTTAACAAGAGCCCCAAGTAATTCACATGCACATTAAATTTTGAGAAGCTCTGATTTAAGTAACCTATATTGCTTTGGTTTCCTCTCAAAGAAGATAGTGCCTACTATCACTTCAGCTGCATTTTAGCCATAAAAAGGGGGAAAGAGCCCTAGCCGGTTTGACTCAGTGGATAGAGCATGGCCTACGGACTGAAGGATTCTGGGTTCGATTCTGGTCAAAAGCACATACCTCAGTTGTAGGCTCCTCCCTGGCCCAGGCCCTGGTTGGGGCATGTGCAGGAGGCAATCAATTGATGTGTTTCTCTCACATTGATATTTCTCTTTGTCTTTCCCTCTCTCTCAGGTGAGGATTAAAAATTTTTTTTAAAAAAGAGGGAAAATAGAGTAAAAAATAAGTGAGAATGTCATTGGTTTATATTTGTGCAAATCTCTTTAATGTCTCATTGAATAGAAAACAACTAGATTCTCGTATTTGACTCCTCATTTAATATATTGCCAAATGTTGTTTGGTTGAACTACATGAAGAAAATACAGCCTCAAGCAGATGCGTTATTGGGAAAGGGAGGCATATTTTGATATGTTTTCAGGTAAAAGTAGTCATTTCTTAAAGGTAAGTTGTAATGTGGGATTGGAAACCATATCAATGAGCTTTTTGTACTATTTAGTATTAAAATTCACTCATTTATCTTTTATTTTGGATGGATCTTTTACCTATGACTGATTTTCTTACATCATACTTTGGTCATGTGGAAAATATTGGCTCAATGAGTTATGCAAATCTTCCAAATGTTGATACATTTCATTATGCAATTCAAAAAAATCACATTTTTAATGTCACCATTAATCTCATGAGAAAGTCTTTAAGTATAGAGAATCTGGCAAGTACAAGTTTCCAAGTTTGAATTTTTGCTTAAAAGGCAGAATTTTATCATTGGCAATAAATATATCAGTTGTTTTTCTTGAAGGAACAAGGTCACTTTGTTCATTTTCGAGAAAATGTTTGGCAAATGCCTAAGTCTTAATAATCATAATTTCTCTATCTGAAATTCTTTCAATTAACAATGCTATTGCATGAGAGAAACCATTAGTTCAGTTCACAACTCAAATAATGACGTAAGCGCTTTTCCTCCAGATAACCATTGCACTTGGTGTATAGCAGGAGTGCTTCATGCATAGTTCCTGTTTTATTACACAGAATATTAAAGGGACCTTTAAGGGTTGACATTTTGTAAGATTAATTTTTACTGCTTAATCAAGAGCATTCTTAAGTGAAATTGGCTTTTTAAAAAATCCAACTGTGAGTACATAGCTTAGTGATAAAGACTACAATGCCTGTTAGCACAGTTTGCAGCCACTCTCCTTGATCTGTGTTAAGGTACCAGCAATCTTACCTCCATTATTTTTGCACTATTAGTGTGAATGTCAACACAATGAAAAGGGCAAAGAATGTCTAGTATTATTGTAAAAACAGTTTTGACCTTGTGAACGTCTTGAAAAGGTCTCTGGGATTTCGAGTCTATGGACCACACTGTAAAAAATCACTCTCCTACATGATTATGCTGGGCCTGATCAAGATTGCATGATTTTGAACTAACTAGTTCTAGGTGAAACTGATAGGTAGCAAATTTTAAATTTGGTGTGTCTCCATGCCTCCCCTTTCTGTGACATCTCTGACGGCACTCACTAGACCCCTAGTGGTACAGATGGAAAAGGAAGGTACCTTCATGCTTGCTCTTCTTGTTCGTTTGGTTATTTGACAATTATTTATGGAACCCTACCATGTACCAGTTTCTCTGGGCTGTGGGCCCTGATGTGGAGCTTCTCATGCCCTTCCTTACACAAACTACTTGTATTAGTTTCCTATTGCTGATACAGCAAACCACCACAAACCTAGTGGCATCAAACAACATACATTTACTGTCTTACAGTTGTGTAGGTCAGACGTTTGACACCGGCCTCGCTGGACTCAAATCAAGGTGTTGGCTGCACTGCATTTCTTCCTGGAGGCTCTAGGGGAGCATCTGTTTCCTTGTCTTTTCCAACTTCTAGGGGCCCCAGCATTCCTTGGCTGGTGGCCCGCTTCCTCCACCTCCAAAGCCAGCCGTGTTGCTTCTTTCTGACCCTTCATCATTGCATCTCCCTCTAACCACGGGAAAGGCCCTCTCCTTTAAGGATTCATGTGATTAGATGGGGGTCACCCAATAATGCAGACTAGTCTCCCCGTCTCAGGATCTGTAACTTAAACAGCTGCAAAATCCCATTTGCCATATAAGGTAACATATTTATAATTCTGGGAACTAGAGTTGGGGCTTCTTTGGGGGGCCATTTTTCTGCCTAGCACACAATTTTAGTAACTGTGCATTAAAAAGTTGTTAAAGTAATGAAGGAAGGATCCTATCTCATTGCTCATTGCTCAGAGCTTTGCTCCTTCCTCATATTGGAGGTTGATTATTTGACTCAGTTGCGGTACCAGGATTTAGGTGTTCCTTTGCTGTGTTTCTAAAGTGAACAGATAGCTCTCCTAAAGCATTTGTTATTGCATCCTCACTGCTGTTTACTCCTACTCCCACTCTCCTGTAAGCTCTTGAATCATGTATCTTCCTTTGTTCTTTGTATGCTCAGAGTATATCACAGTACCTGGCACATCGTATGTACACAATGAAGAATGCATAAGTACGTCAATGAGTTATCCTTACACATACCAAGTTGCAGTTTTGTGTTTTGCCTGGGGCATGTAAAGAAGCAGAATGGCTTGTTATGGGAATTTAAGGCCTAGTGGCAAGTCTTAATGCAAGGATGGCAAGTGATGCTGTGGGCGTAATAGGGCCTTAGGCACTCCTTCAGGCCCTCTCTGGCAGCGTGCCTGGGACTGAGCAGGAGCTTGGAGGAATTGCAGCACCTTAGGGTGGCTTAGAGTTTCACTGAGTCTGCAGGTCTGCAGCATGGAGGAGCAGGTGTGAAGCCAGCCAGCCTGCTCTGCAGCCACACAGAGTGTGGCCTTTTGCTCCTTGTGCCTGCAGAGGTAGCAGCACAGAGATGGACTCTGACTTTGCAGAGGTGTTTTAATTCAGCCCAAAAGTTGGATTTTCTAAAGACAATATGCATTTGACAGAGGGCCTTTTGTATGGAGTTACTGGGGACTCATTCAAAAATAACAGGAGCCCCAGTCTACAGAATAGTTTTGTCACTCTCAGCACAGCTCCAGTCTTCCACCTCCTACCAGCCGGCCCATTTATAGCAAATGAATAAGAAATTTAATCCCTGGTATTTCATAAAGAAGTCTTTTTATTTTTTGCTTTGGTTGTGGTTTGCTCTGAGTGTGCTTTTTTAATGGCAATGTTTAATAATGTTTATATTGCCTTTCACCTTTGACTAACTTTGCAGCTAAGTTCCAAGATGTGGTTTCACATCCAGTGTTTGCAGGCTGCTGCTCCCTCCTTTGAGACTGCTAACTCCGATTCCTAGAAGGTATTTAATTCATCTCCATCACTTCTGCTGGGGAAGGAAGCAGTCCAGGTGATAGTAGTTGGAGTAATAGTTAATATTTATGCAAGGCTATGTGACTTACTTCTATTATTCAATCTTTAAAACAACCTTATGAAGCAGAAGCTATTATTGTCTATTCTCAGATACAGGGGAAAGTGTTTCCCCCAAAATTAGTCCTCAGAAAATAGGGTGTCCCCTTATGTTTGAGTCCTGACAAAGTCTGTCCTATGTTGGGGATTATTTTAACCTTAAAGTAGTTTAAGTAATTGTCCCAGAATTATGAAAATAGGTGCCTGTGGTTTGGGATTGATTAATATTCAAGTATTTGTGGTATTATATCCATTTTATAGAAGAGGAAACTGAGACTTGGCGAAGTTAAATAACTTGCCCCAGATCACACAGCTAATAACTGGTACAGCCAGGATTCAAACCAGGCATGTAATCTTACTTCCATATCCTCATTATTAATCCTCCTCAGAGTCTTTCTTTCACTTTTAAAAAGGTTTCAATCTAGGGGACCACTGATTTTTTTTTCCTTTTTGGTATTTCATTCTAAGAGCAGAGAAAACCAGAAAATGAGTATCTATCCAATCTGGAGCCATGCTTTTATGGATAGCACTAGGAAGCTCTAGTTCACCTTCCAAGCCACGGTGGCATAGGATTCCCTCGGTTACATCCTTGCCAGGTGATCACCCTGCCTCCCTTTGCCATCAGTGGAAAGTTTATTACGTCCCTCGTCAGTCTCTTACCTTGGTGCTACTTGTAGGAGTTCTTCCTCATACAGAGCTGAAATTGTCTAACAGAAAGGAGATCAACATTTACCTGTGTTTGTCTCATCTGATCTCCCCTGTCCTTCCTTCCCCTTCCTCTCTCCTTCCCAATAAATGTTTTATTTCAGAATAGTTTTAGATGTATAGAAAAGTTGCCAAGATAATACAGAGATTTTTCTATATACCCCTCAGTGCATTGTTAACATCTTACATTACTGTGGTACATTTGTCAAAACTAAGACACCAACATTGGTCCATTGTGATTAAGTATAAACTCCAGACTTTATTCTGATTTCACTAGTTTTCCTCTAACGTCCATTCTCTGTTCCACGATCGAAATTACATTTAGTCATTCTGTTTTCTTAGTCTCATCTGGTGTATGATAGTTTTTCAGCCTTGTTTTTCATGACCTTGACAGTTTTGAAGAGTAATAGCCAGGCATTTTGTAGAATTTTTCTCAGGATTTATCTGATGCTTTGTCATGCGGTTTTGGGTTTGGGAGAATACAAAAATGAATGTCATTCTCATCACATCATGGTAGGGACACAATATCAATATGACTTATCACTGGTAATATTAACCTTGATCTTCTGGCTAAGGTCAAGTTACGCATCCCTCCCCTTTTTATACATGATTTTTTGAGAAGCAAGTCATGTGCAGCCCACACTCATGAAGTGGGGATATTGCGCTCTACCTCCAGGTGGGGGGTATTCGCATTAGCTATTGGGACTTTTCTGTAAGGAAGATTTTTCTCTTCTCCTACATTTATTAATTAATGCACTCACTTATTTATATCAGTATGATGTGATGCACATTTATTCTATACTTTGGATTATAATCCATTACAACTTAATTTTCTTGCTCAAATTGTTTCAGCTTTGGCCGCTGGGAGGTCTTCCAGTTATCTCCTGTGTTCTTTTGACTTGCCACCATTCTTTTGTGTGTTTTTTTCTTTTCAGGACTTCCTTTATTTTCAGGCACTGCAAGATCTCCCAGGTTCCTCTTGTATTTTCCCTGACTTATCCCTAGAATTAGCCATTTCTCCAAGGATCCCTGTTTCCTTTTATTTGAGAACTAGAGGCCTGGTGCATGGATTCGTGCACCAGTGGGGTCCCTCTGCCTGACCTGCGGGGACTGGGCCGAAACCGGCTCTCCGACATCCCCCAAGGGGTCCCGGATTGCGAGAGGGCACAGGCCAGGCCGAGGGACCCCACTGGTGCACGATTGGGGCTGGGGAGGGACCACGGGAGGGCTCCAGGGCGTGTCCGGCCCATCTAGCCCAGTCCCAATCAGCTGGACCCCAGCAGCAAGCTAACCTACTGGTTGGAGCATCTGCCCCTGGTGGTCAGTGCACGTCATAGCCACTGGTCGACCAGTCGAACGAATGGTTGGACACTTAGCATATCAGGCATATAGGATATTAGAAACATAGATCTGACCACTGGTTGTGCTCATTGCTACTGGGGTGTCACCGCTTCTAGAACCTGCTAGTGGACAGAGTTAGGAAATGCGTTATGTATAGCAGTCCATGTTGCACACATGTCTGCAGTATTTCTGTATCTACATTTGCTTCCATAGTAAAGCTTTTTTTTTTTTTTTGAGCACTTCTATTTTGCTGTGTTACCAACAGTGCTATCTTCTATGGGGGGAAGAAAGTGAAAATGGAGAACTTGACAAAAATAATTTAAGAGCTCAGCCATCTTCTAAGTATATCATGTCCATTTAGAAATAAAGAGATTATAAGAGGCTAAGGAACTAGATAGAGGAACAGTCAGGATTGGATTCAGGCTGTTTGAGATGGAGCCTCTTTACTTCTGATGCATCGCATGCCTCTTTCTGACTGATCAGTACTTTTGGCTTTGTATTCAACTCCATAATTAACTTCTTGGAATGCAGTGAGCAGATGAGAATGAAATTTTAGGAATTGGTGTGCTCAGGTATTACCTAGCCAACGGAAGTCTGCTGGAGTGACACTACTAAGGGATTTTGCTCTCTAGCAAAACATATCTTAGATTTACAACTTGGGAGGGATGCTCTGATGGACAGACGTTAGTGAGTGAGTCTTTTCAAATGATTATGATGATTGTCCTACTGTTTTTCCTTTTAGAACTATCTCTTAAAAAATCCTTTTGTTCTGGGAGAGATTCATAGGCCTTCTGTAGCAAAGATACTTGATGTATACACTTGCTTTGAACCGGTTTGGCTCAGTGGATAGAGCATCGGCCTGCAGACTCAAGGGTCCCAGGTTTGATTCTGGTCAAGGGCATGTACCTTGGTTGCAGGCACATCCCCAGTGGGGAGTGTGCAGGAGGCAGCTGATCGATGTTTCTCTTTCATCGATGTTTCTAACTCTCTATCCCTCTCCCTTCCTCTCTGTAAAAAATCAATAAAATATATTTTAAAAAAATAGAAATGGGATATAAAACAATGAAGGAATCTGCTTAATGTTATCCAAGGAGTTGGAGATAGAGTAAGAAGTGAGAAAAAAAAAGAAAGGAAGAAAGGAAGAAAATACTGCAAACCCCACAGCCCTTCTTTTAACAGGCCAACATCACAGCTCCTTTCTTTTAAATTGCTTTTGGCAACTTGTAAAGCAAAGAAAGAATACTTGAAGGTTCCTCTCAAGAGAATCCTGAAGCTATAGAAAAATTCTAGGATGCCTTCAAAACTTTCAGTGTTTCCTTTGAGAAGTGGGTGTGTTTATACTTGATGAATCCTGTCTTGTCACCACGTAACAGTAAAATCTCTGTTCTGTTCTTTACAGTTGTACTTTATTCATTCCAAAGACTTACCATTTTATTTTGTATGATACATTGTGAACATTCAAGATTTTTAGTGGAAATAAATGGCAACAGCTGTTTTTCGTGTACCAAATAATATAATTGTGAACCATAACCTTGACATCATACTAGTATATCCAAATTTTTCCAGGCGTAGAAGTGACTTGACAAGAAAAGCTTGTTTTGGGTGGTCATCCCTATACGGAGTCATATTCTGCTGCTTGCTGCCAACTTCATTCAGAAGGAGAGAGAGTTTCCTAGATCTTTCTTTATTCCAATACTCCATATTCACATGGATTTTCCTCTTTAAAATAGTGCATGTTCACCTACATAAACCTACACCCTGAAGTCCCATCTTCCTTTCCTGCTTTATTATTCTCTATTTTACCATCATCTAATATATTTTATGTTTTACTTCTTTAGCTTTTTAATTGTCTATTTCCCCCAACTAGACCTTAAGCTCTATGAGAGCAGGGGATTTGTTTTGTTCACTGCTGTATCCGCAGACCTAGAATAGTACCTGAGATAGAGTAGATGCTTAATGAATACTTCTGAATGAATAATGTGAAAGTTGCAAGTTGTGATCATTTGTCCCCTGGTTTTAATTTAAGTACAAATAGTTAAGTTTTAGTTTATAGAGTTATTTTATATTATAGATGAAATGAAATCACACTATCTAAAATGGGATTTATCTATTCACCCAAAATCTCAGAATCTGTACTACAAATGTGCATAGTGCTTTGGAAGTTATGCAGTTTACTGCAGTAATGCAATACTATTTTCACATGCGAGGAATTTTGAAATTCTCTGCTAACTACCACTCAAGAAATTGGTGGAAGAGCTAAAAGCAAGAATGTTTTCAAGGTATTAGGTGAATTACCTTCATACTAACCCAAAAATATCTTGAACCCCAAGTGACATTACCCAGTTTGATCCCTTATTCTATTCACCAGAATTAGGAGAAAGTGGATTCTCATTATTATATTAAAAAAACAACAACACCTATTCAGACTGATATTTACCAATATAGAGGATATTAAAAAGAATATGCTGCAAAAGCTGAGGTCATTCTTCTAAAGGAACGTCAGCACTCATTTGGATATATAGATACTGGCATGTTTTTATTTGTAATCATTTACTTTACACATATGTTAATTTTACTTTAAATTTCTAGTGTCTGAAGTACTTGTATTTTTAGTTTTGAAACTAGTCGACTCTGTTTAAGCAACATGTAAGATAATATAAAAGGGTCTACAACTTGACTACCTATTTTATAAAATAGATCTTTCGCCCTAGCCAGTTTGGCTCAGTGGATAGAGCATTGGCCTGCAGACTGAAACGTCCCAGGTTCTATTCCGGTCAAGGGCACATACCGCCTCGGTTGCAGGCTCGATCCCTGTGGGTGGGAGGCAACCAATTGATGTTGCTCTCTCACACTTGTTTCTCTCTCTGTGTCTCTTCCCCTCCCTTCCACTCTCTCTAAAAATCAATGGAAAAATAACCTTGGGTGAGGATTAACAAAAAAATAAACTAGACCTTTCAAAACAACAACCCTAACATCAGACTTTGCAGTACTATTCTCTCCAGGACGAGACAAACAAATAAGAAGCAATCTAGACTGTGAACATCTAAGAGTTGTTTGCACCCTATGTGATGTAGTGCATAAATTACATCTTTGTACAAACGACGTATTTTCACATTACCACCTTTTATTTTAGAGCATCGGGGAGTCGACGATGCCTGTTGTGTTAAATCAGCTGCTGCCCATGATTAAGCCTTCGAATCAAAGGACCAACGATGACTACAGCCCCGAAGAGCTGTTGGTCCTCTTCATATACATTTATTCTGTCACTGGAGAGTTCACAGAGGACAAAGACCTGGCTGAAACAGAAGAAAAAGTGAAGAAAGCACTGGCTCAAGTCTTATGTGAGGAGTCTGAGTTGTCGCCTTTGCTGCAAAAAATCACAGGTGAGTGCTTAGCAAAGATATAAGACATAAACATCAGTGATACAGAAAACAGGTTTAAAAATAAAAGCCATTTCAGCCCTA